GCATATATTTTATCTTTTAATCCTAAAATAGTTTTCTTGAAACCTTCTGGTAAGGTCTAACCGTAGTTAGCTGTATTAAAATCAATAACCAAAATTGTGAAACTTGATAAAGGAATTGACAGGGTTTATCGGTTTAAACCCTTATAGCAGGCAATAACTGCACATATGGGTGCCTCTCAGGCTGGCTGGATTCTGGTCTGTGAGACCCGTCGCTTTCTAAAGCACAGCATGGCTGTTTGAAGGTGACTGACAGCTGCTAATGCCAATCAGCCGGTTGATTTGACTTGCATTGCAGTCAGTGTCTCAAACAGCATCTGAGTGTCAGATTAGACATATTCGTTTGAGAAAGATGTGCTAATGCACCTGTGAACTTGCTTTTATTTGGAGTTACTTTACTAGTGTGACAGTGACGCCTTGGTTTGATATGTAGCCTTTTTAATTATAGATTTTTATTATGGTTGGGGACTGTATTTTTTTTTTCTTCCAATTTATATTCTTTTACTTGTTTTTCCTAGAACTGGTACTTACCCTTTTCCCTTGATACTCTTTAACTAGTCTGAAGTAATGCACAGTATGTGTGTAGTTTACCACTAATGCTGTCTGGAGTATGAAAACTGTGCTTTTTTTCTAATGGCACAGTTTGATTTGTCAAACAGCACTGATATTTATTCAGTTATGCAAAGAAACTAAAACAGGGATATTGTACAAATCCTCTGTGCCTTGTTGTGGGCCCTGATTGCAGTGTACCTGTTCATTTTTTTTCCCACTCTGGATATTAAAAAGCTACAAAACACATCACAGGAGTTTTCCTTCTGGTGTGTGAATGGAACAGCTCTGACTAATTCCAAAGCTTGGTGTGGAAGTTGTTTAGATATCATTGGTTGGTAAGTTGTGTCTGTGTAGAGAGTTCTTAATTTTAGTTTTTGTTTGTGAGCTCAGGGGGGAGCCTTGTGTGGCAATATGCAAAATTTGGCTCTTCAGATTTTCATGCAAATAAAAAGAATTGCCACCTTTGAATGGAAACCTGCCTTTTTTGTTCTTTAAGACATTAAATATTGCTTTCTAATAGTTTTACGAGTTTAGAAATCAGTAAAAGCTTTCTTTAATCTAATTGGTTAACATTCTCAGAACACAAGTTCAGCTGAAACTAGCTGTAACCAAAGAAAGAAAACATTACAGAGCACTAAAGTCAACAGTAATGCCCTCTTCTGTCCACTTAGTGCTATGACTAACTGAACATGAGTATATACATTTATTCATTTAGTAAACAATCACAAAATGTTAGTGAATAAATATATAACTTGTATTTTTTCATTGGATGCATTTATTGAACATTACAGCAGCTCCCAAAACGTATTTTATACACAAGAAATTATAAAATCATTAAAATACTTATTTAAATTTTATGTAACGTATCACAAATTGTGCATCCCAAATTCAAAACAAGTAACATTTATTTTGAAGAAATACAGCACAGGCATACTTTTTAGTTTTTAGACCTAACATTCCCCAAAATTAAGCTTGTTAGGTTTTAATATATGAGGATATATTTTTTCTTTAAAAAATTCTGGTTGGTAAACATTGTGGAACATGTTCATTGTTAATGTGACAGGAGCGGCTCTACCAATGCCAGATGTTTTGATATTTTGCATCTAATGCAACAAAATTGACATTTGAATGTGTGACTTCAGTGTTGAAATACTTTTTATGATTACTGTATTGACAGAATAATGTGTACTGGTGATTTTAATGAAAGACTTTAAATTCTAATGGTGAATTTAATATATCATTCCCAGTTCTCTGAGGTGATCTGTAAAAGAACTTTCTATCTCTTCACAAGCAATATTTATAGTAAGAGTGAACAATATTTTTTATTGTTTAAAGATTTAATAGTGAGACTAAGTTTAATATAGTCCAAAAATATACAGATAAAACTCCAAGACTCAAATGTACAGGAAAAAGAAATCTGTATTTTAATTAAAAAAAAAAAATGACAGGATACAATTAGATTTCTCTTAAAACTAATAACTGTACATATTGCTTATGACACAAGTCAACATTACAACTTAAGCTTGTTTACAGAAATCTCTTTTTGTTTCTTCTTCTTTGCTGTCTGGCCCTTTGAGCCCTTGATTTGGCTCTTGACATGGTCTTGTAACTGGGAGAAGAAGGCTTGAGAGGAACGCAGGGCCTTATCCATGCCATCATTCTGTCAGAATGAACGGGAGGGGAAAAAAATAAAAAATAAAGTTATACACCTAAACAAAAACACAATAGCTTAACTGTATTCATTAATGCTGCATTTGACTTCGTTACTGACCGTCAGTATTTTGGCTTTTCCTCCTTTAGTAAGTTTCTTGAGAGTCTGTTCAACCTCAGCTTTACTCTTCTTCTTGTCTCCTCCTTTCATCGCCTCTTTGACTTTCTGTCTCTTCTCCCGCTCTTGAATCTTCAGACGCTTCAGTTTCTTCTTCTTGCGTCTCTCTCGTTTTTTATCTGTAGTGGTTTTCTCGGTGTCTCCGAGTACGTCTCCTGCCTTATTCTTCTCCTGAGATAAGGGAAAATAAAAAACCGCATCGTCATCTCAGGAAGATTCGGAGATCTAACTTGTGTAAATGTTTCACTCATAAACTACAAAGCAAACTCTTTCCTAAACACTTAAAAGTGAGGTTTTCTAACTTGAATTGATACGAGCAGGCCACACAAACCTTAATCTCCTCTGGAGCCAGCAGTGTGGCGTCACTGGCGTTGACTGGAGCCACTTCCTCCATAGTTATAGAAGGCAAGTTGGACACCACTTTCACTTCAGGAATATGCTAAACAGAGAGATCAGAAATCCATTTGACATGTTTAGGCCAATATAACGCAATGTTTCCAGATTTACATCAGCTGTTTCAATGAACAGCTAAATTGAAAGGTTTTTGAACATTTCTTTAGGTATCAGTTTTGTTTGTTTTTCTCGTCACACATGCAGGAAGATACTATAGCTAGCTCAAGCCACAAGGACAATTTTACTCACTGGTTTTGGTGTGAAGTGGAAGTTTGATAGCGCATCCAGTTTAAGGAAGAGTGTGTCCATGAGTTTCTGGATTTCTATATGCGCTGGGTTCTCTTCCTCTTCCTTCTTTTCCTGAAGCCCACACAAAAATATAATATAATACAATATAAAAGTTTAGGGTCAGTAAGACTTTTTTTTTTAAAGAAGTTAATACTTCTTCCACAAGGATGTATTCATTTGATCAAAAGTGCCAGGGAAGCCATTTATAATGTTAAAAAAGGTTTCTAATTCAATTAAATGCTGTTCTTTTGAACTTTCTATTCATACAAAAAAATATTTTCCACAACAATATTTTTCAACATTGATAATAAGAAATATTTCTTGATCAGCATATTAGAATCATTTCTGAAGGATAATGTGATGCTGAAGACCAGAGTAATGGATACTGAAAAGTCAGTTTTGCCATCATAGGAATAAATTACATTTTAAATGAGTATATAAATGTATTCATTTAGTAAACACTATTAGCAAACATAATCACAAAATGTTAATGAATAAATATATAACTTGTATTTTTTCATTGGATGCATTTATTGAACATTACAGCAGCCCCAAAAAGTATCGAAATCATTAAAATACTTATTTAAATTTTATGTAACATGTATCACAAATTGTGCATCCCAAATTCAACACAAGTAACATTTCCTTTAAAGAAATACAGCACAGGCATACTTTTTAGTTTTCAGACCTAACATTCCCCAAAATTAAGCTTGTTAGGTTTTAACATATGAAGATATATATTTTAAAAAAAAAATTCTGGTTGGCAAACATTGTGGAACATGTTCATTTGTTAATGTGACAGGAACTGACTTCATACATCCATGAAAAGAGTTAAAAAAAAATAATCAAAAAAGTGGCTCAACCAATGCCAGATGTTTTGATATTTTGCATCTAATGCAACAAAATTGACATTTTAATGTCTGACTTGTGTTGAAATACTTTTTATGGTTACCATATTGACAGTATACTATATATACTATACTAGATAATGTATTAAATTACATTTTCAATCAAATATAAAACAGTTCTTTTAAATTTTAATAGCATTTAGATTTTTTTGATTAAATAAACAGCCTTGGTAAATATAAGAGACTTCTTTCAAAAAAGCTCTTAATCATTCCAAACTTTTGAATGGCTGTGTACTATGTAACTCACATTTTTATATACATTAAACACAATTTTAGACTTCATTCAAATTACAACCCAAATAGTTTTTATAACTGTACATAAGAATGCGCAGGAGGTGAAATGCGAGACAGGACTCACCTGTGTCTGTTTGATATACTCCTGCTCATAAACCTCAGCCAGACTCAGTTTGCTCTTCTCGTGGTCCAGAGTGAGTCTCTTCTTATATTCAAACACCTCCTCTTTAGGCTTCTCCTTCCTTACCACATCGTCCCACACCTGAAGCACAACCATAAAACAACAAAAAAGTGAAGTACACTGAGTCATATTTATGAAACAAGCAGTGACAATCATTCATAAAAACATTCCCAAGTAAATTGTGGTATACAATTCAATGGACAATTTGCACAAAATGGATTAAGAAATGATTTCAAGCCACTTCACTTGCCTTTATCTCTTCAAAGCAAAGATGGCATCAAATTAGGTCCATGAACATTAAACACAGAACATGAGGTTTTAACGAACCTGATCTTTGATTCTCTGTTTGATAATCTCCTCAAGCTGTAAGGTAGTTTCTTCTGTGATGGCTGGAGCTGTGGAGGAGAGGAACAAATCTATAAAGACTTTCAAGGCATCAAGTCTTTTGCTGTGACGATCAGCGTGAAGCTCTCACCCATCCTAGAGGCCTGGTCAAACGCCACATCCTCTTCCAGCATGCTGTTCTCCGGTCGAGTCTGAGCGCTCACCTCTCCTGTCAGCTGCCACGGCTTCTCGGACAAGGCAGCGTTCTCCAGTTCTTCAATCTTTTTTGCCATCTGTTTAAATTCATATCAAATCAGGGTTAGTATTGTCAACTAAAACATTAACTGAAATAAAGCTGAAATGAAGCATACATAATACATGAAAAGCTCAATGAAAATGATAAAGCTGAAGCACTAAAAATCACTAACTGGACACAAATAAGAACCAAAACTGAAATAATTAAATATGCAGATTTTGATTAAATACTTTTTTTCAGTTAAAGATCACGAAGTGATCAACGACAAACCTTTTCCTGTCTCTTTTCAAAGGATGACTTGGACTCCGGTTTAGGCATGTTTTTGGCTTTTCCACCTAGAATAGCTTCCACATCCTCCCCCTCACTGTCATCGTCAGGGACGTCAAAGGTCACCTTGCGTAAAGCATTTCTTGCTCCATCACCTTTGTCATCCCTAAATTAAGATGTGAAATGCATTACGTCGTTAAAAGAAAATGCTGTAGCTTTATATTCTGTTAAAATACGACAAAAGAGGACAGCAGGTATCCTCATGACTTACTCATCCATCTCAAAATCCTCCTCATTCATTTCATCTTCATCGTCCTCCAGCTCATTGCCATCATCTTCTTCTCCCTCATAATCATCACTAGATTCTGGTTCCTTCTCTTCATCTGGATCCATCTCTTCAGGCTCTGCATCCACTGGAGCAAAGAAATCTTTGTATTTCATATCTCTGGAGCTTTTCTTCTGTAAAACAAAAGACACTGAGTTTCATGAGGTGTTTGTACAAAGTAAGAAATATTGAAATAAAACATTATTCAGAATAATGTTACATGCATCTGTATATTAGACCCATAGTTTTACACCCTGGGGTCCATAAAGGTGATGCAACTAATTTAAATATTTGAACAAATAAATCAAGGCTCAGGAAAAGTCTGTTACACCATTACCTTTTTCTGTTTTGTGAGCGCTACAGGCTTATCAAAGCTTAGCTCCGCGTCATCATCAGATGGCAAATTCTGAAAGTAGTCTATGTCCTCTACGCTCTCCTTTCCTTCTCTTCTATCCATGTCATCCAAAAAAGCTTCCATTTCTGACAGTTTAAAAAACCGGTCATCTACTTCTGATGGAGTCCTATGAGATTTTGACTTTGATAATTTGGCAGCTGACTGTTTCTGTTTGGTTTTTTCTTCAAATTTATCTACATCAAAGTCCAAATCCGAGTCTTCACCAGAGAAGTCATCGTCCTCATTGCTTGCAGATGGTTTCAACCTCTGCTTGATTTCCTCCTCATCATCATCATCATCTGCACTCTCTTCTTCTAAATGATTAGCAATTTCCCCATTATCACCATCTTCCTCCTCCTCCTCCTCCTCCTCTTCATCATCATCATCAAAAAATGTTATAGTGTCATCTGTGACAGCTTGTTCAACTGTCTCCTCAAAATGTGTCAGTAATGCATCGTTCTGAAGCTCCAGCTCTTGCCAGATCTGCTCCTCATCAAAGTTTTCGATGACCAGCTGCTCCAGTGGGCTTCCTTTGCAGTCTGCAGGCTCATGGGCTTTATGCAGATCGTAAAGAGTCTTGGTAAGTGATTTGAAGTCTGTTGCCAGAGCATCCTGGACACTGAATAAAGATTGAAAACATAACAGAGAAACGTTACAACCTTTAAACACACTTATTTGTAATATTATATTACTATTTGCATATATTTATCATTAACGATATTTACTTAGAGTCTATAAATAAAACATCCATAGAAATCAACATGAGAGCAATGTAAGAGAAAGGTAGGCCACATATATTAACCTAGTAACCACCACCTCAACGTGAGACTTTGGCACATGTGTGGCCCGACACGCGTTTCAGCTCGTTGAACGTGCTCTATCTTAAATTATCAAGGCATTCAGCAAAACAGCACAACGTTTAATCACTTAACGTGTATCTAACCTGAGAAATAGATCCGGGTGTGCTGTGTCGCTGTTTAGTAACTGTAAGCAGCTCTCCAACGTGCTGCCATCCCCGGTCGCCATCTCTGCGATCACATGGGTCTCTGCTGCGTAACGTTACGCTTTGTAAATACAACCCCCGGAAACAAAATGCACGGTGTTGCGTTCCACATAGAAGGTTCCATATAACCTTAATATAGCGATTTACTGTTTTTTAGTCTACCATAATTCTGTTTTTAAAATCTAAATGTTACGAAAATGTTTATATGGGTAAATTATGCATCTATTACCCTAACTGAACACGGGATTCGCGCTGTTTAAATAAAGTTTTGTTTGTTTGCGATGACCACAAAGATGGCTTCCTCTTTACTGAAGGTTGCAGGTAAACTGTAGTAAATCGATATTGTTTTAGTGTCTCTGTCTTTCCTTTAAGTGTTTGCAACATTTAGAGCTGCTTTATTCTAACTGCACACGTTGCACTTGTCTGTGTCGTACTCTTTGACAGCTGTTGCTAATAAAATTCACCTATAGATTAGTTTTGTTCTATATTTAATGCGTCCATACTGCAGTCATAAATCTCTCTTGTAGTTACAGGTCTCTCGAGGTGTGCGTGGCACACTTTGCTCTCAGTGAGGGCAGTGTCTCTGACTGTACCCGTCGGTCAAGGTGTCCCTCAGTCATTATGGAAGTTAGGCAGACTGAATCATGTGGCTATCGCAGTACCAGACCTAGAGAAAGCCACAGCACTGTACCGTGATGTGCTGGGGGCTCAAGTAAGCGCCACCGTGCCTCTCCCTGAGCACGGCGTGTACACTGTGTTTGTAGAACTGGGAAACACCAAATTAGAGCTTCTGCACCCTCTGGGAGAGAAAAGCCCTATTGCAGGATTCCTGCAGAAGAACAAAGCTGGAGGGATGCATCATATCTGTATCGAGGTAAAGATAAGATCAGATTAGGTTAGATCAGTGCTAGTTCTCAACCTTTTTAACTAAAGGCCCCCTATTGTCCAACATAATATTTAAAGCCCCCCTATATTGGCTAAGATGTTTAGTATTTCTGCTGTAATTTTGACAGCGCTGCTTTTTAAAATGTTTTCATTATATTAAACACAATTTGAAGATTCTGATACTGTTTTTCAAAAAAAAAAAAAAGCTATTGAGGAGAAAGGTTAACATGACTTGAGAACCAATGGGGACGATAATACTCATCTTTTAATACTCAAATTGGTCTTTGGCTTCTTTTACAGATGTACAGACAAACAAAAAAATTGCATAACACTCACATAAAACCGTATCAAATCACATAGGTGTCATGTATCACAAAAGTCATAAATCAAAATGTGGTTAAACGTTTTTATACTTTCATTTTTAAAAGTAAATGGATAAAAATAAGACACCTTCTGCATTTTTAGTTGTTCCCAAAAATTAATTAAATACTAGGATACAGTATTAAATATTATTTTCTCTTAATTCTTGCTTTTTCAATATTCCAATATACAAATAACATTAAATGGGATAATAACAATAATATTAATAGTAAAGAAAAATAATGAAAATTCATAAACTGGGTTTCTTGTGAATCAATCTTATTGCAAATGTCTTCACACTAAATATTGAACTTGTTTCATAGTTTAGTGTCAGTATCCATAATTTATGTGTTGCTTGTTCAATTGCAGGTGGATGATATCAATGCTGCAATAGTTGATTTGAAGGAAAAGAAAATCAGACTGCTCTCACCAGAGCCACGGATAGGAGCTCATGGCAAACCTGTGATGTTCCTCCACCCTAAAGACTGTGATGGGGTTCTTGTGGAGATAGAACAAGCCTAGCTATCAAACATGAGATTGTTATCTAGTAAACAAAGACACTTTAGGCTGTTCATTTTTGACAATTAAGCTATTGTGATCATTGCAAGAAGAATTATATGATTCCACTTGTTCCATGCATTTTTAATCTGTTATGGTGTGCTTTATATTCTTGGCCTTTGGCTTTTTTTCTGAAGTAAAGATTTTCTTTAGTGACTTAATAAATGATTAATTTAAGTTAGTTTGTTCCTTAACAAACTCAAACATTCAAAATGTGTACAAAGTTTGTAAATCTTGTTTAATTCTGTTCTTTTCGTATTAATATTTGTGGGGCACACTAGGTATGTTTCTTGTTTTTTAATGATGATTACAACAACAGAAGCCAAAATAAGCTCAATTAAATGCATGTTTTAAATGCTATGATAAAATGTTAGATACGTTTTGCTATGTTTATAAATGTGAATTGAGATCCTCGCAAGCCTCATCTGGCTCTCAGTGGAACAGACAGATTGAAGCTTTTTTTTTTTGGCTGACAACAATGTATTTGGGAGACAGGTTGGCTCATAGCCATCTCTCCACTGTAGTCAACCCTCCACCGAATAGAAAGCTCTTTTTTGTTCTTATGCCTTAAATCTGCTTTTTTTTAAAGAGAGAGATAACTAGAGGAGTGAGATTTAATCTGTTATGGTGTGCTTTATATTCTTGGCCTTTGGCTTTTTTTCTGAAGTAAAGATTTTCTTTAGTGACTTAATAAATGATTAATTTAAGTTAGTTTGTTCCTTAACAAACTCAAACATTCAAAATGTGTACAAAGTTTGTAAATCTTGTTTAATTCTGTTCTTTTCGTATTAATATTTGTGGGGCACACTAGGTATGTTTCTTGGTTTTTAATGATGATTACAACAACAGAAGCCAAAATAAGCTCAATTAAATGCATGTTTTAAATGCTATGATAAAATGTTAGATACGTTTTGCTATGTTTATAAATGTGAATTGAGATCCTCGCAAGCCTCTCATCTGGCTCTCAGTGGAACAGACAGATTGAAGCTTTCTTTTTTTGGCTGACAACCATGTATTTGGGAGACAGGTTGGCTCATAGCCATCTCTCCACTGTAGTCAACCCTCCACCGAATAGAAAGCTCTTTTTTGTTCTTATGCCTTAAATCTGCTTTTTTTTAAAGAGAGAGATAACTAGAGGAGTGAGATTAGGAACTGATGTTTGTGGGCTTTCTCACTGTGTGGTCTCCAATGTCTTGTTTGAATTTTCCTGCTTCAGCACCATTAGAATAAAGGGGTCTTTTCTGCCGTTTTAAGCTGATTTTGACATTTCAATTAATTTGGCAGTCTGAAAAGGAACAGAAATCTTTCCAGAGAAATTCACACACTGCCTGTTAAAAAATGCCTTTTGAATGACTTCCCATTTTGCCCATGCTACATTTTGGCTTTTATGCACCGTAGTGAAAAATAATTAATATAAAGCAATATTACATGTTGCTCTGAATCAAACGTGAAGAAAATAAGCAACAAAGAAATCTGATGCTAGTTGAAATGTTTTCAGGGGAAGGATATCTTCAATGGAGCAAATCACGTTTCCTTATGATATTCTGTAGGAGCTTGCATTTGCTTGTCTTTTTGTAGATATCATAATGTGAAAACATCTGCCTGGATTAATAGAGAAGCAAGACTAGCTGCATGGTAATTGTTTGCAGTATCCCAAAGGCATCTCATCCAAATTGGACGTATTCAAACCACATGTCCAGTTTTATCTGGGGCATTGGAAGCTGTTTATTGCCTGATAGCCTTGAGAAACGCCATCTCAAGTTGTCTGGCCCAGAACACCCATCTGCAAGAGAAGGGAATTAAGTATCTCATATTTTCTGTGCTAATGTAGTATTGATTTTATTTCATTATTGTCCTATGACAACATTAAGACATCAGCTAATGCGTTCTCATTTGAATGTATGACCTAACATGTAACAACTAGCATGTGCATCCAACAGCATCAGGAAGAAAAGATTATACGTTTCATGGAAAATCTCTCTTCTGTAATATATGGAGAATCTGATCGTACAGTGAGATGATGCTTAATTTGAGCGAAGTTATCCTTCAAAACAAGGCCAGAAAGAAATGGCTTTGTGTAAATGACATCACGAGGATAGTGGATAGTGAATTGGTAAACATTTGTATGGATACTAATTACTAATGATCATTAATAACGATTGATGACATATTAAACATCAATGACCGCTTAGAAAGAATAACTCTTAGAACCGCCCGCGTTCAGTGCTAAGCTTTGTTAGTTTGCTGAGACTTGATTTAAATGATAAGCATCATTTTAAGATCATTTCCTCACACAATGAAAGCTACAAGCGCTCTTTCTCTCTCTGTCTCGGGTGGGGTTTGTTGTGATTGAGCCCAGCGCTGCAGTGGAGCGCCCCCTGCTGTTCTCTACGTCTGCTCAGGCTTCTGTTCTCCTCAGACTCCGGGATGCGGTGTCGGTGCGGTTCTCACTCTCTCCAACCTCTGAAAACACAGGACTTCTATATATGAACATCACAACATTAAAGGTCATGCAGGTAGGCTGGTTTGTGTAATGTTTGTGAATGTTTAGTGTAGCGTGTTGATGCGGAATGAAGTGATGCTCTCGTGAAGGATACGGCAAGATTTCATCCTCTCAGTGCAACATCAAGCCCGCTGCTGCGAGCACGTACATGATGCTAGTCGTCCTCCTCAGCCGTCTTTCAACTATTAAAATCGTTGTTTCAGTCAAAGAGATGGAAATTGCGCAAATCGAAGGGTCGTCGGTTTGTTTCTTTAATTTATGTGTGCCACTCCTTTTCTTTTAGGAGCTAAGTTACTTTGGTGTGACTATATTCACTTTCACATTAAGAACCACGGCTGAAAATGTCACGACGAAAACGTGGAAAGTCCTCAAAAAAGTTGGTGAAAATATGTCGCACTGTAAAATAGTCTGTTAAGTTTTACTTTATCACGTTAAATCTCCAGAAATTAAAATATTTTATCTATCTGTCTGTCTGTCTGTCTGTCTGTCTGCCTATCTGTCTATATATCTGTCTGTCTGTCTATATCTATCTATCTATCTATCTATCTATCTATCTATCTATCTATCTATCTATCTATCTATCTATCTATCTGTCTATCTATCTATCTATCTATCTATCTAACGTTTAAGCTATATATTAAGATACTAGTCAGTTTTCAATATTAAAAAAGTGAGTTTGAGTGGCTAAAAGCTTAAAAGAACAGGGTCATGCAAGATTAACAATTTCCTTCATACACTCCTTATGCAAATTTGAACCTACAATCTTCATGTTCATAGAAATGTCAGCTTATATGGGTAGTTCAGAGATATTGTTGTTATTCAGATTTTGTTTTGTTTACAATTACAAGCGGACCTGCTTGGTCAGTAGCCAGTGAAGTCTGATTAATAAATCTGTTTGTACTGGGAATTTTGCATTCTATCCTGGTATAAATCTTTCAGCGACTGACACATAAAATCATGGTTAGATGCTGAGATTCTAACTGTGGAATATAAACATAATTATGTCCTAGTCCTTCGGTTCTGGCTGATTTGTAGAGCTTATAATGATCATGCTAAATCAAGCATCAAATTCAAGCCTGAAGCTGGAAATCAAGCATCATGCTGCTGCTGTAAAAGATGAGCTCCTTTTTGTCCAGAGAACAATAGCCGGTCCACTCCCCTGAACCGATCAATGAAACCACAAGGACTAGAAAATATTGTGCATATTCTAAAAAATAAGTGGAGTGGCTAAATTTTTAAGAGCTATGAACAAAATAACACACATCCTCTAGCAATAAGTGAATGCTCATGCTATAAGTCTACTCGTCTTTGTGCGTATAGCTCAAAGTAGTTCATATGAAATCTGAAACATAATATAGAGAGGTAGAGAGAGAGTTTACGAGTGGTAGGGAAGAGAGAGAGCCAGACTGAGTGTGAAGGAGGGACTGTGAGTGTTTATAAAGGTGCATAATTCCTGAGTGTGATCCCAGTTGGTGGTTCCGTCTCCACAACAGTCTCCTGTGCTAAACTTTGTGCTATTTCAGATTTTCAATACACTCCATTCTGTGTGATTTATAAGCGTTTTGAAAAGTGGGGACATGGGGTAACCTTCTCCTTGTAATACCTATGTCATACCTTTGTCATTATACAAATTTATGTCCTCATTTGTCACAAAAACGCGCACACACACACACACACACACACACACACACACACACGGCCCCGCCCCTCCTTTCAGATCCCTTATAGTTACGGTTCTGTGCTGAAGGACAAACACTGTTTGCAAGAGCATGCTGAGATGATATTTATGCACCAGTAGGACATTTATAAATTGATCTCTTGCGGGAATCGGATAGAAACATAGATGGAAAGACAAGCCTGCGGTTACTCACTTTAGGGGTAATTTTAGCAAAGGAATATTTAGTTGATAATCACAAAAAAATATCTAAAAATGTTCAGGAGATTTTGAACTGTTTCGAATGATAAATAAAGTTGTGCAGTAGTGGTGAGATGTAGGCAGGTTTTTTAAATGGTGTTACTAATGTGGGTGTAAGCGGTTTTGGCCCAAAGCTGCTGTCTGGTTTAGCACTTGCTCTGATATATATGATCCTGTTGCCTGTGTGTGTGTGTGTGTGTGTGTGTGTGTGTGTGTGTGATAACCTCTGGCAATGTGCCCGGGAAAAGGAGGACAAGGGTCAGAGAGGCATGTTCTCACTCAGCTCAATTTAAAATCTACTGCTCACTATACATATATAGAAATGCTGATGTGCAGTTAGCAGTCAACAGCCCAGAAAAGTGCAGAAAGGATAAATGTCTTCCAGTTTATATACACTACCATTCAAAAGTTTGGGGTCGGTAAGATTAAAAAAAAGTTTTTGAAAGAATCTCGTATTGCTCACCAAGGGTGCATTCATTTGAAATACAGAAAAACAGCACTATTGTGAAACATTATTATAATTTAAAACATGCATTTTTTTTTTTTACATTTTAATTTATTCTGAATTTTTCAGCACTCTAGCCTTCAGTGTCACATGATCCTTCAGAAATCAATCTAATATGCTAATTTGTTTCTCAAGAAACATTTGATTTATTATTATAAATGTTGAAAACAGTTGTTCTGCTTAATATGTTTGTGGAAACCGTGATACATTTTTCAAAATTCCTTGATAAATTGAAAGTTTAAAAGAGCAGCATTTATTCAAAATAGATTTTTTTTGTAACAATTAACTGTCACTTTTGATCAGCTTAATGCATTCTTGCTAAATGAATTAATTTCTTAAAATTTTCTTAAAGTGTAAATAATTAATATTATAGGAATTTGACTGCCCACTGATGAAAATGTGGCTTTTGTTTAACTTTAGAAAATGCTCTGTAGGACTTACAAAAATATAATAATTCTTGCCAGTGCTGTAGTGCACAAATTTGGTGCACACTGATATCCCAAGAGGATCATACATTAAGGATGGGTAATGGGGGTGTGCCAGCGGCTCTGACTTCAGAATGATGTAAATGCCATGTAGAAAAAACATGATTTCAAGTAGAGTTTCGCCCACGCAGTTACACTGGTGTTAATGATCTTAGTTATCTGTCCAGGATATGTGGTATCTCAAGCAGAATTCGTATTTCTTAGTAATATACTTCATGGATCAGAAGCTGTGTTTTCATGAGGCCTCATCTTAAGGCTTTGTCAGATATTGAGTTGTTTGGGCTCTGGATAAATATGAAAATGTATTGTGATACATGACATTCAGAAATAAACATGATTTGCATTAGAATCTCCCTAAATGTCACTGATTGTGAAGTGCCTTTCATCCTAGTATTAAAATGTTTTTGTTGTTCTTTTTTGTTTTCTTTTCATATACTTGAGCTTGAATATGTTCACACTAAAGAAAGGCTTGATCGTTTAGAGTTTATATCAGAAATGGCATCTTCTATCGGCTCTTACACCACACAGTGCAGTGAAATGAAACAGAGGTGCCTTATTGGACACAGGCCCTATAATTCATTGCTTATGTGTCTTTTGATCAGACTGGAGAGTGTTTCATATTGATAGTATAGGTCATCGACTCTGACTAGATGTGAATGAGTCGTCTGCTCCCTTGATGTTTACTTTTGAAATAATCGAGTAGCCAAGCATGGTGACTTGTTAGATATTTTAAAAGCACGTTCAAGCATCTGTTATTCGCAATGAGTGAAAGCGGCTTTTTTAGCATACTATCAGCCCAGTAAGATGTGAGAGGAGCTTTTATGTTTGCGTCTTTTGCTTCCTCTTTCCTTTTCATACAAAAATGGACATTTGCATTATTTTTGGGAAGCCGTCCACATTGAGATTGAATGATTTTATCCGTTTAGTGCTTTCATCCTCTTGTTTATCATATGAAAAGAGAATATTGTGAACTCAAGTGCGATGTGAGAAAGGTCTGTAGCCATTTTTTTTACTCGTTGGCTGAAGTTTATCTGACTCAAGATTATGAAACGATGTGGTTCTTGATCTTTTCATTCATTACCGAGTCTGTGCATTCTTTGAAAAGCTAATTATTTTATGCCTCTGGCTATGTGTATCCTGCCCTCATATCTGATGTAATATCTGTCATATTGCTCTAAATAAGTAAGTATGTCGTGCATGGACTTCTGTACAAGCTTTCTTGACTATGTGAGAAGTAGTTTTTTTTTGTACTGGTGACTCACTGGTTGATGAATCACTTGCTGTATAATACTGGATTGAATTTTGCCATTTTTCTCACACCTGCTAAGCTTTCCCTGCGTCTCTATATTTGATCAGTAGCAAGGTCGTTCCTGCTAAGATTTAGTCAAGTCAGTTTAATTTGTATAGTGCAGTGTTTTGCAGTCTTTTTCAGTCCAAGGACCCCTGAGTGTGACTTTGCTGCAAATATACAACTATAAGACTGAGTTTTGTGTCTTAAAATTGTCATGATATGAAAGTTTTCCAAGTGCATCTTAATGTTCTTACTGTGAACAATTCAATAATTTTAAAATAAATAAATACAATAATGTCATAACTTAATCTTCTGGTGAATCAACTTCTGTCCGGTGATGTATGCCAGACTTTCAATTATTTAGTCTGCATAAACTGCATAAAGTCGGCTGCAAGCTCAAATTCAGATTTGCCTTCTTCCAATCAACAACCAATGGACAGAACCAAGACCCGCTCTATTTTTTATTTTTTTTCAATAATCTGTTTCACTTGGATGTATGTCAATATGGAAGAAAAGATCTGTCAGCCTGGCCAAAAATAACATTCATGTAGTGTCATATTAAGAAAATGTACATAAAAAAGTATATTTAAAATACATGTATTTCATACTAAATATAGTTCAAAT